CCCCCCCCCCCCCCCCCCCCCGCGGCTTGCTTACGGCAGCCGTGGGACTCCATCCTGGAAGCCGTGTTGACCGTATCCCCAAACAGACAGTAGCGAGGCATCTTCAGACCCACCACGCCGGCCACGCAGGGGCCTGAGAGACACACTCGCTTAAGATCATTTGCTCGAGGTAGTTTTATTTTTCATTTATTGTATTTTTAACAGGGACAGTGCTCATTGATCAGCAGAAAAGACTTTAAATGAACCCGACTAATTTTCATCTTTTGTTGCTCACCAGTTCTCAACCTAAAATCAATATGAATTAGCTTATCAAAAATGTCACATACAAATAATATACATACAGTCTAACATCCAAATGGATACAATGCACACACACAAAAAACAGATCAGTGTACAATAAAGACGATAAAAAAGGCAGCAGAACAGGTCGGTAAACAACTAATATCTAGTGTTCACATGTATGATTGTTTACAAGCCACCAGTTCAACTGAGCAGTAGAAGATCAGCATGTATTGACGTCACCAATAGACACAGGCAGTACATCCCCGTCACAGAGAATGCTGACTGGATAAAAGCAGGACTGCAGCCTCCTCTGGTGGCACCTCTGCTAACCTGAGGGATCTTTGCATAATAAATGTTTTAAATGGAGGGGGGGGGGCAGTATTACGTAGTATTTAAAAAAAAAAAATAACATAAAAAAAATCATAGCTCAAAAATCAGTTCTTTTTTTATCTGACAGCTATGGAAACTTAAGTTTCTGATCTAAAGATCAGATTGAGTATATTTTTGCATTCTTGGGAAAAAAAAGGTAAAAATGTGTACCTTTGCTTGTCACTGGGGCTGTACCCTCAAGGGTCTGCTAATTGTACCCTTAGCAGTAGGTAATTGTACCTTTAAAGGTCAGAAGTGGACCATTGAAGGTACATTAATGTTGTTTATACCTTTGGGATGTTCCTCAGAGTGCATTTCTGTACCTTAAAAGGTACAATTACAAGGGTACAGCCCCAGTGACAAGCAAAGGTACAAATTTTTACACTTTTTTTCTGAGAGTGCATAAAATTTCAAGTGGTTTCAGTATAGATTTATTGCCCTGTGCACAGCTTGCCAGACAATAATTGAAATTTGAAATGATCATGACATTTATATATATCATAGCAGTTTTCATGAAATACTCTGGTTCTAGTTAGTTTTGATTGATTTCTCACAGAAGCATGCCTTTATTTAAAAAAAAAATATGTCTGTGTGGGAAAACGGGTTTTCTGTTACCCACACTTACCTGAGTGAAGCCCGATTCGGACCTTCAGCTGCTGGCCCAGGACATGCTTGTTCTCGAACCGCTCCATAGCCCTCACCACAGTCAGGGCCATCCTGGCTATCTCTTTGGCGTGGTCATCTCCGTTCCGGATGGGCAGACCTGACACTACCATGTAGGCGTCTCCAATGGTCTCGACCTGGGGGTGGTCATGGTGAGGATGAGATGAGCATAAGCGATGTTCCTCTGAAATGGGGGAGCATGGTCGTAAACCTCCCAAGGACAGCTTGCCATGTCCCCACTAAAATATCAGAAAGCAAATATCAAGTGAGGGCCCATGGTTGGATAGACCTGACGCATCCATTTACCTTGTAGACGTCGTGATTGTCGATGATTTTGTCAAAGTTTGTGTACAAATCATTCAGAAGGTCCACAACCTGAAGGACAAAGATCTGGTTACCGGATACATAGTGACAGGACCCTTCTTTTTTGTGCGCAGAAGCGGGAGGGTGATAGTCTTTTTCTATCTTTTTCTGTATTCTAATAATGAGCTTGATGTGACTGAGCGAAGGGGCACCTGCTCCTCTGCTTTCCTGAAGGTCATGCCTCCGCCCCAGGAGAGGCCCTCCCAAACTGAAAGTGTTTGGCCACATCTGTTTTTAGCCACACCAGGCCCACGCAAGTCCAAAATACTGTTTTGTTGGAATTTGTTTCTCTACTGCTATTGTTCTGAAGGTGTGGCAGGGTGGTGGAGTGGGAGGAGGGGGCTGTGTGCTCTTTTGATCTCATATCTCAGTTATTTGAAAATATCTGTTACCACCCATCCTTCCTGTAACCTCTGCGAGACCGATGCCAAGTCGAGCCTTAACAGCTGTAATTCCCCGCCGGTGATAAACGCAGATCTGCATTGTTCTCTTTCTGAGTGTCCTTCAGAGGAACCCAGCCAGAAAGAGGTCTTCACCTGCATGGGAGTAATACTGGACGCCAGCACCGTGAACCCTTCGATGTCGCTGAAGTAGATAGTGACACAGTCGTACGTTTCCGCTTGCACTGTCTCTCCAGCTATCAGCTGAGCAGCAACTGACCTAAGGATACATACAAGCAAAAACCCAATATAAGCTTATTAAAAAGAACCAGGTTTTTTAATTTCCCAGATTTGTCCTATGGGTGTGGATCATAGCCAAGGAAGAAATGGGTGCCCATTTCCAGGGAGTTGCTACAGATATCACCCCCCCGTCAGCATTCCAATGTTACCGAGGCAACATTTGCGTGAGGAGGCTCTCCGCCTTCTTCTTCTGCTGTACGAGTTGGGCAGTGCGCTCCTCTACCACCTGCTCCAGGTTGTTGGCATACTGCTCCATGCGGCAGAGCAGGTTGTCCAGGATGTTATCGCTTCCCCTGAGTTAAGATATGAGAGACACTCGCCATCAAGTCCGAGCTGAGGATGATCCTGGGAGGTTACAGACTACAACCGCAAAGACCGCACAAACCACAGACTACAACCGCACACAGTTTTTCAGAATGACACTCAGGTCAGAGAAAACAAAAATTTAAGTGAGAATACAATCAAGTTCTGCCCATTCACCGCGATTATGTACATCATTTCTGAATATGTACATGTCTTCATTTAAATCCTCTACACTAGTGGCCAAAGTTGTGGAAACACTTCCAATTGTTAGAGACTGCAGAACTTTATTCAACTGTTGCTCCAGTTACTTATTTAATTGTCCAATGTATTTTTGTAAACATTCTTTGATTGTTCATGAACATTATCGCCCAGTATTCCTATGGTATTCCTGTATTTTAAAAGCTTAATGCCAAAAATGCTAGGTGTTTCCACAATTTTGGCCACTAGTGTATTATGATACGCTGCTTTTGTATCACTCTTCAGGAATGTGTGTAATGATACTACAGACTGCGCCGATTCCCCAACTCCAGGTGAATGGCAGCACTGAAGACCTGAAAACAGACCAGCGTTTGTTGGGCAATCCCAAACCAACTGAGCAATCAACTAAAAGCACACATCACAGAGACCTCCATTAACACAAACTGCCTTGCTCTTGATTCATTCTTTTACTGCTGTTCGTCATACAGCTCCCACATATACTGCTGCCCCCCCCACCTGCTCCAGTATCTGTGCCTGAAGTTGCTTCTACTGTCCTTTAACTAAGGGGTCTTGCACAGGTCTGATTTAACACTGTAATTTTATCATTTGAGGATCCATCAGATGACTTACTGTAGGACAGTGAGATGGGCAAGATCAAAGGCCACAGTGGCCGGCAAAGCCCAGGTTCTAGCAGGACACAGCTGACCTCAGCCCTACGCTCTGTACACACCCAGTTGGGGAGAGCTTCTTCACCAGCGCCCTGAGTGCGGGGAAGTCCGGTCGCTCTGCGGGCCTCTCCCTCCAGCAGCTTCGCATCAGGGTTTCCACAGCCCCGGGGCACTCCGCCCGGTCCACGTGTGGCCGAAGGGGGCTGCAGCCTCCCGCCTTCACCCGCTCCACGATATCTTGAAGACACCCCGAGGAATATCAAAACACTCTATCTGCTCTGTGAGACGGACTAGTTCCGACTGGATGCTTTCTGTACCAGGAATGCTTGGCAAATCACCTAGAAAAGCCAGCTGCCAGAGGCTAACAGGCATTTATATGGGCCAAAGAATCTTCTAAAATCTTATGCTCTTCGGACACAATTTGGGATTCCTGCCATGAATGGGACGCAAGGATTAGTGCGTGGCACCTTCGGCCTTAAGGGTGCGCCCAGGAATGTAGAAGGGCTCACGGCGGAAGACTATCTCCTGGATGATGATGCCGAAGCTATAGACGTCCCCCTTCTGAGTGCCATTGGGGGGCATGATGCCCCTTAGAAGTTCGGGGGCTCTCCACAGCAGACCTCAAGTGAGGAGAGACAAACAGTAAGAACCACAGTAGCGTAAAAGAAAAACAGGGATTTATTTGCAGGTGTCGTACAACATGCCTTTAAAAAGTTTCCTTAGTTAAGGAAAAACCTTAAGGGATTTACTGTATTTTTTATTTACTTATTTACTGTATTATTCTGTATTGAAAGATATTTGACAGCAGTAAAATTGTACAGTTTCCAAGGAGACAATTTGTTTGCTTGCACTCACACCTGCTCATGATACCTGTTACCACCTCCAGTGTTCATTCCGCTTACAAAAATATTGACGAAAATATAGCCCGAGGAAGGGTTTTTTTCCGTGACGATAATGAAAACAAAAAACGTTATTAAAATAAGCGTTAATGAAATTAACCATATTATTTGTCTGACGAATATAAATGAAATAAAAAGAGCCAGATTTCATCACCACTACATCTTTATCTGACAGATGTTCCCCTGGTGTATTATGTTCACTACAAGTAGGTACTTTTCGTTCGACTAAGAACAACTGAGTGGAGCATACAGTATAGCGATAAACTTTGCTGAATGATTAACGACAAGTGCCGGCGCTAACTTCGAAGATACATGGAACTATTGGGAAAAGAGAAGTAGCAGAGGAAAAACTGAGCAGACAAAATTATTGTTGTATCTCAGTTGCATTAAATGCATTTTTGTATGCGTCTCTGTATCTCTGCACCAGAAATTTCAATCAATAAGCAATGTACTTCTGTCTAATATAACCGGTGCCGGCGGTGAAAGGTGCCAGAGCTTATTAGCAGGGCAACATTACATCGTTTTTTATTCTGTAAAATTGAAAGATTGATCTACTGGCCAGATTTAATATATGAATTATAAACATGTTGCGGGCCATGTAAATAAAATTATAAATGGACTGTTGGTGAGGTAAAATCAATTGCTCATCATTAATGGTGTCCACTGGGGGTGCTCAGTCGCAGAACACTCATCTTGGGATGCATTAATTTTCTTCATTTATCGCCATGAACTCAGCCATGTTGCGGTTAAGATACAGCCAGAGGCACCTAAGGTTGTTCTCCTTACTTTGCTTGTCAAGGTCTTTTGTGCAACCGTTAAGGGTAATTTAAGGAGTTCCTGAAGTATAAGACCAAGATAAGGAAAAAAAAAACTTAAATACTTAAGTGCACATTTTAAGGAAACTTTAACGAATAGAGTTAAGACTGTTTTGCGCAACTGACTTTATTTTACGGAAACCTTAACTCAGACTTTAAGAAAACCTTAAGTTGTTTTGTGCAACCAGCCCCAGGATCTTATCCCCTCAAGCCTACTCACGTTGCCAATGGTCCTGGTGGTTCTGGGACCCTGGTGGTCGCCTCAGAGAGCTGAGACCAAAGTCGGTGACCTTCAGCACAAAGCGGCTGTCCACCACACAGTTGGATGAGGACAGGTGTCCATGGGAACGGAGGGGACTGCGGTGTAGGTAGTCCATTCCCTGTGCATGTGCGTGGTGTGACAGACGAAGGGTGGGGAGTGGTCTCATGAGAAGGTGGGGAGTAGAATCCCATAGGCCGAAAAACCCAGAATTTACTTGCTCACCTTCACGATGTCCAGCATCAGAGAGTACTTGAACGTCCAGTCAAGTCTGATGGACCCGTTCCTCAGGATGTCCTGAAAGACAAGCCATGGCACCAACTCAGCTTCCTGACAGAACGTGGTTCTGCTGGCACGGTCGGTTCTTCCGGGGCTGGACGGAAACCAACGGTGCACACCTGCAGGCTGCCCTTGGAGCAGTACTCGGTGATCAGGAACAGCGGAGGTGACTCCAGCCAGGCTCCGACAAAGCCGCAGATGTTCGGGTGGCTCAGGTCCTTGCACTGCCGCCGTGGCGGAGAATGCACCAAGAATCACGTCACAAGCCAACTCCCCAGAGTGCGGCGCATTTATTACCGCGGTAACCTCTGCTGGCACCCATTCCTGACTTGGCAAACGCTTCTGCTTTACGGCGCCTACCTGCTGCAACTCTGCAAGTAGGTCGCCTGTCAGGTTGACACTCCGCACGTTCAAGAACCGGATGGAACACACGTTCTCCTTAAAAAGAGGATTGGAAAGGCTGGAGCAAATGACAATGCCGCAAAAGCGAGGATCTTACTTTGTTCAAGAGCGGCGCGTAAAATATGCACAGCGCATAAACATTAATGAATATAACGGAAAAGTTAAGTGCAGCATGGGGTTTTCAATGAGCTGAATGTACCATGATTAAAACATGGACAGATTCATAATCGATAATAAGTCTGTGGCTTACAGGTCGGTGAATTATACTCTGAATAAACCCCAGTCATCACCCTGGGGACTAAAAGGGACAAACTTGCTTTATACAGTGCAGTCCTGCTGGAGAGCATCTCGCTGTCCATGCCACTGCTGGCAGCTTCGTCCTGTGCTGAGCCGCCGTTCAAAGAGAACATCTTCAAAAAGAGTAACAGGACAGAAGTATTAGCACTGCAGTGTCTTCTGCAGCCTTGGAAGAGACGCGCACTCCTGTTGTGTCCCTTTGCCGGTAGTTTCTCATCCCCTCTACTGTATATTCATTAATATATTTAGTTTTTTGTCATCTGTGTTATCATGTAAACCTCCCATCCCTCACTTGAGAGCAAATGCAAAGTACTGATCCAAGGTCAGGACACAAAAATAAAATACTGAATGAATAAGAGATGATATTCATTTAGCCTTCTTATATAACAGCTTGTTCTGTAAAGGGGAGAATCTGGAGTCTATCCAAGAGAAAAGCACGGGGCAGGGGGGCATCCTGGGCAGGATGCCAGTCCATCACAGGGCACGGGGGCATCCTGGGCATGATGCCAGTCCATCTCAGGGCAGGGGGACACCCTGTATGGTATGCTAGTCCATCTCAGGGCACCCTGGACAGAATTCCAGTCCTATGGTACAGCACTAGGTGGCGCTGTGACACATTATGGGTGAATGGTTGTTGTGATCAAGGCCGTCTGTTGAATGTGAGCTGGGGTTTCCGGGGACCACGTACCGAGGACGAAGTGTGGTGTTCCGTTACGGCAACATCATCGAGGCTGACCATCCACAGCATCATCGAAGCCTTCTCCTGCAGTTTGTACTTCCTGGAGGCAAACATGGGCGACACATCAGCCTCATCCGCCCCCCCCTCCCCCCCCCACCCCCGCCATCCCTGCTGCCCTTGGACTTCTACTGAAAAGCGGACATTTCACCCCCTGATGCCAATTTAGATTAATACAAAAAAGACAATTGATTTCCAGGCACAATAAGCTCTGCTCTTCTATAAAGGATGAATAATAATTTAATCTACACATTAAACATTATCTACATATTATGAATGATCTATTGCATTGAAGCCAAGTGATTACCAGCTATATTCATGGACTTGATTCCCATTCTTGATTACTGTTCCTGATTACTTCCTCGAGACATAGTGCTAAAAGCATTAAAACACAATTCTCCACACTATGAGAATATTATAAATTGATTCAACAATCAATTTTGTCTTTGATTTGGACGTGGGATGCTTTTGTGGAAACGTCAGCCATTTTGCCACTCAGCCTCTAGGTGGCTCCACTTCACTCATGTCATGTCATCCTGAGCACCACAATCAAATGTCTGTTCATGGAAACCAATCGTTTTCATTCCCCTTATTATTAATTGTAATCGTGGGCACTTGACATAACTGTCCACTGAAAGAGAACGGGAGAAGATGATTAACTGGCTCATTAAAATCAGCCTGGATGCTTTCACCTGAGCCATCGAGTGGGCCGTGTGAGTGAGGGGGATACAGTACCTGTAGAGCAGGGCGATGCTCAGACTCCCTGTGGCCAGCAGGCCGAGGATCAAAGCCACAGAGATGATCAGGGTCCTCTCTGTAGGACGCACAATCACCAGAGCATGTTCAGCACAGTACAGACACATTTAAAAAGTCTGTGTTCAGTATGTTAGACAAAGAGACATATTAACATTCTGGATACACACAATGCCTCTGACTCTCTTCAGTCACACACCAACAGGAAAGGACTTAACAGTGATATGACTACACTGCTGACCATGGGATTTGAACCAACAACCTTCTGCTGACAAGCACAGGGACCTAACCCCCCCTCCGGCACACACCACTCCCAGGTAAATGACTCAGTCAGCCCCAGGCTTCAACCCCGGGCCTAGCTCCAACCTCTCAAGCTACACAACGTATCAGCAAGTAAATAACTAACAATATACTGTATAATAAAAACAATAAAATGGTAAACTATGTCATATAAGCTCATCTGATTTTTTTTATTGCAAATACCTGATGGCCAAGGGCAATTTAATAATCCCAGATTATTATAGAAAATCTATATTTCAGCAAAAATAAATGGCGAACTTGGGGTCTACGGGGTAGAAGTGAATAATGCACACTGATATATAATTTTTTTCTAGAGGCAACCAAAGACCAAGGACATGGATTTGATGAGTCTGGTGACCTTAGCAGCCAAGAAAGACTCAATGCAGAAGGCAGCAATGGAGAACTAGGGAAGAAGGAACAAAGGCTCTAAGGCAGTGCAGTACTGACCCCTGCTGGCCAATGTAGGCAACTGCCTGTCAGTGCAGAAGTTCTGATCTTCCGTTAATCTAGCACTTTGCAAAAAGAATTTTCCTTAAACTTTTCAAAAGCTTGCAAAATTCAGGTCATTCTCTAGATCCCATTACATTACAAAAAAAGATGAATCCCAATCCAGCAGTGATGTCGGCAGATCATCCATTCCGCTACTTAGAGACCCGGATACATACATACTGTTCAAGGACGCCATAGAGGGGGAGAAAGTTAGGAGGATTCCTGAGAGACAGGGGCCCTAAAAAATTTGGAACATAACTGAGCTGGTCTAGGTTGGGGGCCCAGTATGATATACTTTCATGGGGCCCAAAATCTCTCGTGACACCCCTGTCTACATTTAGTTCGGTGTCTAAAGCATGGTTCCCCAATTCCGGTCCTGGAGGGCCAGTTTGCAACATCCTTTGCAGAATCGCCTGCTCAAACACACCTACTAATCCTGGTAATTAGCTGATTACCTGGGGCCTGTACTACGAAGCGGGGTTACTGGCTTATCGGGGTAACTTGTCTGATTTAAGGTAGTCTGGGCAAAATGTAAGTGAACGAATATGAAGTCCATTTAAACTGTGGTACCTTAAATCCGACAAGTTACCCCGATAAGCCAGTAACCCCGCTTCGTAGTACAGGCCACTGGTAATTAGCTGATTAGGATGTGTTTCGCAGGAAAATCTACAAACTGTGCTGGATTCCGGCTCTCCAGGTCAGAAAGAAGGGGACCTTGGTCCAAAGCAAAGCATAGAGCAATTACTCGGCCGGTCATGGGATTCAAACTTATGTCCTTCTACACACATGCAAAGAAATCTAATCATCCCACCTGATACAGGTTTTACATTATTATACATCCTGAAGGAAGGTCAACCGAAGACATCGTACCAGCAAACGGACAAAGCTCCCCACTAAATCCACAAGTCGGTGTGTCTTTGGGCGGGGTCTTCCTGCCCCCCGGCCACATGATCTGGACCCCCTTCACCTGCTCATAGGTCTTGTTTGTCCCAAAATAATTTGCAATCACCTGTAGGGATGACCAGAGGAACTGAAGGAAAAGTCTGTTTAGGCACTTGTTGGAAGTTCAGGGTGAATAAAGAGAAGAATAAATACAATACAAGTCTCACAGCCCTTCAGGCTCACAAATCAGAACCAGCACTGTTGTCAAAGCATCTCTATTGTCATGCTAAACTAATGGATCCATGATGAAGTCTTGATTTTGGAAGTTGCAGTGCAAGAAAACAGTCAACATTACATATTGACATCTGGTCATAGGACATAAGACAGACAAATATAGCGTAACAATATAGTTCAAATGCAGTTCTATTGTTAAATAGCTGCAATGCTAAGCTCTGTCACAAAGGCCCCTTAGTCAATTTTACAGCACGTAGGACAATGAGAACAGCTCACTTTGAACACGCCCTCGCTGCTCTGGGAGTGGTACATCATGTAGGCCGACTCCCGATCCCCATTGTCATCTATGGTGACATCGCCCTGAATTCCTGCGGCAGAACGACAACGGAACGGAAGTCAGTCCACTTCGTCTCCCTGTCCAGCTGACCGGTCCACTGTGAGCCCCGCTGCACCTGTGACCGTTCTGCTCCACATGCGGCGGGTGACATTGTGGCCATCGTAGGGGTCTTCGTTTTCCGACAGGGTCTCATTCAGCGCCTGGGCGTACAGCCACACGGAATCGTGGGCGAGCGCAGCCAGGATTGACACCTGTTTAAAAAAAACACACAAACACGATTCCAGTACAAACACCCACGCGAAACCTACACAGGTTTACATCCAACAGCAATAAAAAGTAGGGAAACTAATAAAATTGTGTAATAAAATTCAGGACATACTGGTCAGTACAAAGTGTTTTAATGACGGCACTATGCACAAACAGCCTAACTGGATCTAAGGGATTTTGTTCCTCTCAGTAGCAAACAAGCCCATGCATTGAAATTAACACTTTGAAAGTGCAATGTTTATTTATTTTTTAATTCTTATCCACTCTAGTCAATGTAGGTGATGGTATGCGCACACAGAAGCACTGCGATTCTTCCAGTGACGGACGCAGGAGGACACCTTCTCATTCGGGTCGTACGTGTAGCCGAAGTTCTCCTTGGAACGTCGGACCACCCCGGCTGAGAAGTTCTCGTACATCTCGTTGCTGGGCTTGTACAGGGAGAGCAGGAAGAGAGCCTGGAAGGCTCGCTGGGCGATGGAGTCGTCGGGGTCTCCTGGAAACACGGGGCGGGGGAGCCGGGGGGAGCGATGGGGCAGGCCAGCTTTGCACCATGCATTATGTACACTCAGTGCCCGTCAACCCATCAGACGACAAAGGCGGCCACCTAGGAAGCCATCTTCTGACAGGGCCAATTTTATACTTGGACTGGGCGACTTGCCTACGGCATCACAGGGGCTTCGCTGTGTACACTTGAAAATTGCCTCTTAAAATAATTGAACTGAAGCATTAAAGCTAATCCTTTAATCTATGTCATGTTAAATTCATCGAATCAAGCCATCTCGCGAACCAAAAACGCTGCAGGCTAGACGTGTGTAAATACCAGCCCTAGATGGAAAACCAACAGCATTCAGATCCCACTGGCGGGTGTGGGAATTTCGCCCTGGAGCCCAACGTGGGGGCATCACAAAGATAAGCCAGGGGCTAGAGAAGGAGGGGCAAGTCTACCTCTCCTCCAGGAGAAGTCGCCAAACATCTGCTTCTCCTTGTAAGGCTCGAACGAGAAGAAGACGAAGTCCCCGTTGGTCTGGCCCTGCTTGTGGGCCTCGATGAGGAACCTCCTCACCACCTCGCCTCGGGCTGAAATCACAATAACTGAAGAGGAGGGGTAGGGGGTGCGGAGTGAACACAGGCAGACTCCCCAAATCAACCGGCACATCTACATGGCGAGAGGTGGCCCTGCCGGCCGAGCAGAGAGAGTAATCAGCTCCGGTGGACAGCCAACTGGGCTTCACAGAGTCAGTGCAGACTCGGGGCTAGGCGCTAACGCTAACGCTAATGCTACATTACAGCATGTCGGCGCATCTGTGCTCCAACATGGCAACCCACAGGCAAGTCGTGATTAATCATAATTACGTCCCACTGCTACCCCAGCAACAACAGCTGCAATTCTGTGATTACCGATTATGTGCAAACATCTCAGCTGTTTGGTGCTGTTTCATAACAACACTATGGATTCCTGGTTCCCGAGGTTCAATCCCCATTGTACATACGGACCATCCATATCATAATAATGTTCCTGAGATTGTGTTTATCTGATTCATCGCCCTTTCCTGCAGTCAGAAAAACAGCACGATGCCACCATGTTTTACTTCACTGGCTTCTGATGTGAATTTTTCAGATCTGAGATGTCTGGATAATACAGACACTTAGTGAACTGGTTCACCTTTTTACAACTTTAAAGGGGCAGTACACACCTCCCCCCCCCAAAAAAGGTGCTTTTTATACGTCTAGATTGTTGTGGTATAAATTGCCTAGTTTTGGAGATATCGGCCATAGAAATGTTGTCTTCTGTCCAATATAATGGGAATGAATGACATTCTTTCTGTGGTGATTAAAGCACCAAAAAAATACATTCCCATTATATCAACAGCAACGTCTCTTAGCAGAAATCATGATCCGGTTACTCAAGATAATCCACAAACCTTGTAGTGAGCAGCTTCTTGTAGGAACTATTTTCTTTCTATCTATCTTTTGGTTTTATCCAGGTGTCATGCCTTTATCTACGCATCGTTCTTACGATATGGCCTGGTGCCAATCACACACCTGGCATGAACGGCGCCCACCCGCCACCCCCACGTCACTCACTGCGAGACACTGTAGCCACCTGCTGGAGGATCTTGGCAAAATCTGAGGCGTCCTTGTTGTCGTCGACACGGAAACCAACATACTTGGCCACAGTGATGGAATTATTTTGCGCAGTGTACCTTTAAGAAATTAAAACTAAATTAAGTGTGTTTAAGTGTTAGTCTGGGTCATGTCTGGCTTTGAGTCATGTTCCTGCAGTACATTTATCTCTTAACCAACTTTGAGAGAAACATCTACTATGTTCACATCACCAACAGTCACAGCAGCCAATCAGACAGCTCAGCTACTGAAGACGCAGCTTTGTGATTCGCTCACCCACCTGATTCCCTCCGCTGGTATGTTCCAAGCAGAATGTTCGTCGTAGATGATCCCGATACGTTTCCACCTGAAGTTCTCACAGATGCGGACGAAGAACGAGCCCATCTTTGTGAACGGGCCGAAGACCCTGGTGAGCGTGGAGAAGTCCTGCCACCACGGGCGAGAAGATTGCACAGGGGAACCACCGCCGAGGCCATCACACAACGTCTGCTGTCATTTCTGTGGTTTTCTTATGGTTCATAGAGCTTTTTCATAGAAATCATAGTTGCTAGTTTTGGGTCACTCAAAGATAAAGTGTTTCGAAATCTAAGAACGCTTCCAAAATGGTTATGAGAATATCATATAAACCTATAAGCCTTACCTTCTTGTCCAGGAATTCCTGGTCTGCACATATTGGGCTGATCATAGCAATGTTCCAATAAGAAGCAAGTCTGCCAATGAGAGAGCAAACCTAGAGGACAGGTGGATATTGAGGAAGGAAGGGCACCAGCAAGAAACAGCAGGACCTGACAAATGCAATAATTCCATGCATTTGGACAGTCACCAAGTTTTTAAGTTCCTTTCTCAAATGTACAGAAACTCTTCTGGGACGTCTGGGCCCACTCATCACGACAAAATTATATCTCGAAACTCTGAAAGCATTCAAAAGAACTGCTACAGTCATAGAGGCCAGGCTTGCCCTATGAAGCTAAAGCACCAACTGACTCGAGAGTGGCTCCAATCAGCCAATGATTCAAACCTGAAGAGGCTGGGCCAGATGGCACCTTTGATTAATCCAACTGCATGCTGGGACAATCAATTAAACCAAAGCAGTCTTCCCAGGCTGGACGCCTACCCCGAAGGCCTAATCCCAACCACCTTTCAGATCTGGCATTAACAAGCAGGGTTTACCACCCCTCAGGCAACCGCCTCACCTTGGAGCAGGACGGACCAATGAAAGCGCTGAACTTGTGCGTGTGCTGAAGGTCAACAATCCTCCCAGGTCCCACCACCGAATCACAGTGGTCATCCAAGTATTTATAGTCAAGGTGGTGTCCTGCAGTCAGTGAAAACAACGCATGCCACAGCGCTACATTAATACACAAGCTCACATGGCAGGCTTGTGCGTACCACCAGCCCTAACATAACAAAGTTCTAAGAGAGAATAAACAATGCTGTTTTTCTAGCAAAACGTTTCATATATTTCATATGCTAAAGACACAACACAGTAGATGTGCATCCTGCAGATCTGCTCTGAGGTTGGTCAGGTGACCTGGAAGAAGATTCGGGTCCCTGTTGACTTTATCGATCGCTATCAGGGCTCCAGCACCGACCCGCCCGGCACTGAAGGGAATGGATGTGTTGGGTATGGATAGCAGGACCGTGAAGTTCAGTCCAGTGGCACCATGTCGCAGCAGCAGCAGAAGAATCTGGAGCCACTGAGCCCTGGCAAGGATCTCCATTTCTGTCAGGCAATAGACCAAAGGGTCATAGGTCACAAGATGACCTTCGAGTTTTTCTATAATGCACGACTGCTGCAAAGCTGCAAATACACACACACGCGCGCGCACGCACACACACACACACACACACACACACACACACACACACACACACAAAGGAAGCCAGCAATCGTTTAAATCCAAGTCCTACATTCAGGGTTGCACCTAGAATCTCCCCCTGACACAAAGTCTCCTTGTCTATGCCCCAATTTTAATTTTAATTTTAATTTTACATATTCAAGGGCTGCTGTCAAGTGCTGGGCCGCTGAATCTGACAGGGTCTTTATGACTCCCTGACACCCCTGCATACATTCCACCTTGTCTGGATTATACATTATTATAAACACCCCAATTATTTGCAGACTTATTTGTCTCAGTCAAAAGTGTAAAAAAAAAAAGAACCATCGGCATAATTATTTAAGCAACAGAAGCTTTTAATATAAAGCAACTCCCATCAGACATAATTGAAATAATTTCTGCGGACATTTAATTTATGTACGTGGCATAATTGCTGCAACAATAAAAAGCTCTACATAACTGAAGGGGGTGAATACAATTTCCCCTGTAACATCCAAGATCATAATTTGTTCTCCCTGAGAAAACGCTGAGTGCAAAGCAACCGTTAAGTAGAAAATAAACTCACCGTAAGTTTAATCAAGAAGACTGGAAACTATACTTCCCTCGTGAGGACACACATAAATAAGGCAGCAGTTTTAAATCAAGCCCGTTATCAGAAGTTCTTCAGATCTGTCACACACTTCAGTCCAGATGAAACGCGCAGGATGGTCCTGCCGAGACCTGGAGCGCCCTGACTGCCTGCCATCGCTCCGCGCTCTTCTCGGCTTGCGCTGGGAACTTCCCATTTTAGGTTGTTTAGTTAATAGACATGAGAGAATAAACAGTTCAAATGACGTTTTATGGGAACGTTAAAAATAAATCTATGGAAAAAAACTGCAGTTTCGCTTGCGCTTTACTTATTTGACCTACAAGTACAAGCACTTGAGCGCGTGGTTTTGCGGAGCCAAAAAATCTATGCAGCACTTGTACAGTAATACTGCTATTTTCGAATGCTAAAATCAAATTGGCACGGCCTGCTCGTATCTATGAACACAATTTTGCTTGACAGATGCATAGCGAGCTATTTATTCGGTCTTTCCATAGCAATATGCAGACATATCCATTTCTCATCTGTATAACAAAATCTTTCTTTGGTTATGGGAGAGGTTATGGGAGATGTCGTGCGTGCATTTGGGACCGTGAGACTGTCAACGCAGCTTTCGGACCATAAGATACTTGAGTGCAGAAGTCTGACATAAAGATGAATGATATCTGGAAAGTCAGTGGAAACATCTTTCAGCGGTGGGAAAAGCTTGACCTATCTGTGGCTCGGCACGTATGCATAACCTCTTATTTATGCTTAATCGTGTATTTCTTGACGTAAACAGGTTTCATTCAAAAGGGCAATGTACGATGATCATTCACGTAAGGGACTTATTTGCGATTAGTTGCCTGATTTGTATGTCGCATTGGACAAAACCTGGATAGAAATGTACGCACTACATTTTCGTCACTTAAAAATCAGCCAATGTTTTTAATGTTGAAAATACTGATGGCTGTTTATCCATTTCGGAGATAAATCTTAGTGTTTCCACCTGTGTTCTGCATGTACGTGGCGCTGATATTTAAAGGTTAACCCGCAGGTTTTGCGTACCCGGATTTTGTCCAGTATAAATTATACGTACAATGAAATAGCCAGAAAATAGCAGTGTAATGTGTTTCCTGTCCTCAAGGGTTTGCCTTGTTCTCCTTTCTATATAGAAGTGTTCGCTGTGAATGAAATCCTTTTCTGTAAATGAAATCTTTTATCACCGACGCCAAACGTACTTACGTAATTCAGTATTTCAAGGGATTTAGTTCCTTTGGAAAATGGAAAAAAACGTCACGGAAAACCCCGTGTGTTAAAGTGCGATTTTGACATTTGTATTTTTTGATTGGCAATCCCATCGCGTCATTTACGGTTAAGCGCCGTAAGACCATCAGTTGGCTTTATTATGTGAGAATGGGGGGGCATCAAGCCGGTTGGGGCGACAGCTGCGTGTTCATTCTCATGCCAATAGGTGGCAGCAAAGTCATCCTTCACTGGGAACGGAAATTAAAGAGCACTGATTTCAGGACCAAGGTTGCTCTTGTGACAGAGTCTGGGGAGTTTCTAGCTACCGAAAAGATCAATACCTAGGGCTTGACTTTTTTTTTTTTTGAAGGCAGATTGGCATCGGAGCTAAAATAAACCAAGCTAAAATACTGAGGGCTATAGCCCGGAGTGATCGCACCTAACCACCCCTATGGTTATTCATCTGACTTTTACACCAGAAATAACATTTTGTATTTTTTAATTATACCCATTTGCCGTTACTTGTACATTATACATCAGATGCCACTGCAAATACCTTGTATGTCAGACCAGTAACATTCCACTGGAAAAATGATACTCCAGGAAGTCTGAGGGCCTCCTTGGTCTGATTCCAAGATCCTATCAGCTGCAGGCCATCGTGCAAGTTTTCCGTGGAATCGCAGTGAAACAGGCTCAGAAACACATGCAACAAAACGAGTTTCATAAGGAAGATCATTTAAAGGGCATTTAATGTAATACTGCAATATATTTTGCTCAGGCATGATGAAGACACACTTCAGCACAGGCCCCTTACTATGCTCACATGACTTATTTCTGAGGAAAAAAACAGTCAAAGACAAGCCCATCCTTTCCGTCACCCATTTTTAAAGGAGAAAAGTACTTCCCGACTCTACAGAAACAATTTTTGGTTTTGGCTATTTTAAGGAAAAGGCGGCAGGCATACTGCTGACATGAACATACCATTTATTCCTTCCAAATGACATCTTGTCCTTTCAGTAACACGGTGACAGTAAATACAGAAGGCACTTACAAAAAAGTTAAAATCATTGAAATGTTATATAAACATGTTTAGATCAGCGATAATGGCATCTTTCAGAGCACACGCCACAGTCTACACATCTGTAACTACATACAGTAAAAACGATGTTTAATGCCCCTACGGTTTTTATAGTTTAAAATACATTAAGAAATAAACATGTAGTTGTATTCACTAGTCAGTGGTTCGTTTTACATGTTAGGCTTGGCGATTTCTGCATTGTACAGATCCTGGTACATCTCGACGAGGCGGTTGGCCTCTCTCTGGCCGGACAGCAAAGCACCATGGGTAGTGGAATAGTACTTCCTGTGGGTGGCTTCTCCAGCGAAGAGCACCTGCAGAGGCTGTGGATGAAGGAGGGAAGCATGGTAGCGGCGAGAGTCAGCCTGAGCCGGCGATCGCTACGAGCTGTTACTGCTACCCGCGTCCGGGTTATTTTTGGAGCGAGGATGTCTTTGTGTGAAAAAGCCAGCTCCCCAGGAGCATGCGGGGAATGACGCAAACAGGGTCGGGTCGTCCTTTTCGGCACAGTGGCAGGTCAAACAGTAGGGGGCGCAGTGATGCAGGTCCTAGGGGGCGATGATGACCTTTGCCATGCTCTGTTCACTCACTGATTATGGGGGGGGCTCTACTGGGGGGTATTGTTCATGGGAGGGCCTCAGTTGAGTTGCCAACCTTGAGTTTATTTATGGATTTTACATCCATGGCATGGGGATGCACAGACGCTCCCTGGGGTACGATGATCTGTATTACGATATTTTAACTTTACGATGGGTATTCCAATTTTGAATTTCAATTTTGCTTTCAGCTGTTTACGTTAATGGTGAGTACCCATACATCTATTCTGTTTTTTACTTTCAGTACATTATTCAATAAATTACTTGAAATATTCAGCACTTTGTGTAAAAAATATGTTTTGTCTTAATGATTTTGCTCAACTGTAGGCTAATGAGCATGTTTAAAGTAGGCTAGGCTAAGGCATGATGTTCGCTAGGTTAGGTGTACTCTATTAAAATCAGCTTAAGATATTTTCGCTTCACGATAGGTTTATCGGAACGTAGCCCCAGCGTAACCCGGGGAGCGTCTGTATATCAGGCATATAAACGCGGAGAATTTTGTGGAAATGTAGAAGCATCAATGAACTGGTATGGCCTGGGTGTAGCTAGGCTGTATGGGGCGGGGGGGGGTGGGCAGGTGTTTTGGGGGGGGTTGTGTGGTTTTTTTGGGGGGGGGGGGGGGGGGTGGGCAGGTACTCACCGGGGCCTTGGTGCTCTTGGTGTAAGGCAGGGGCATGGCCAGGTGCTCCACGTCACCCCCGCTGGAGCCCACCCGCGTGAATGAGTATGAGCCCCGGATGTAGGGATTGCTGCCCCAGGACGAGCGCAGGATCCTCCGGGGCTTTGGAATGTTCTGGTTCCCTGGAATGGAAAAACGAAGAGCATCGAAAAAATGGTTCAGACAGAGAAATATCCTTTCAATGCAGTAGTTTTGGAGATCTCTGCAAACTTGACGTGGGCCTCAACAAAGATTGTTCGCATGAAAAGGGGGGTATTTCTCATTTTTCCGACCCGTCATCATAATTAATTGTCATAAATAAATATACACCTTACAATGCGTGGGTACCCTGACACCTATCAGAATAATCAATGCCATGACAACCGACTGGCCAATCCACTGTTCCCAGGTAACCACTGTCCACAGAACGAGTTCCATCAAACACTCTGCTAACCTTCTTCCATTTCCCTCCTTCTCAGAGCCGAACCCAACCTAATCCCAGCGACAATGGAGGCAGGGAAACCGCACGCCCCGAAGTGCCACCCTCCCAGGAAGGATCCGAATCCAATTTCAGGCCACTAATTAATCGAGGCTAATCTCAAGGAGGGGGGCCAAGGAGGAATCAGAGTAGGTCGGCCCACTTCGGAGGTGACGACAGGGACCGCTCTGCGGCCCCGGGGGACAGCCGCACCAGAGGAGGGCTCCCTGTCTACCTGAAGTACTTCATTAACATCCCCCCCCCCCATCAGGAAACCAGACCGACCCCATTAATCTGTCCCTGAGGGGTTTACCTCACTCGAGGTCACGGCTCTGTGGTTATGGGATATCACACAGAGACCCCCCCCATCCTAGACACCAAGCAAGCTAAGGCACTATAAAATACAGCATGCCCCCAGTCCGTGGCTTGGTATCTGCTCCAACCTGTGAACTTGCGGAGTAGTTCGGTGCAGATCTCCGCCACGGTCTCGTCGTCATAGCGCTCCATGATCAGCGCCTCCTCGCCGCAGATCCAGCCGCTCAGCATGTGGCCGTAGCGCTCGGGTGGGTACAGCACGTCGAAGCTGCATATCTTGCGGTACCACAGCTCCTCGGGGTAGACCGTCTGCTCCATCTGAGCCTCGTCCTCCCACACAAACTGGATGCTGTTGCACTCAGGACTCCAGAAGGGCTCGGCGAACTCCAGGAAGATCTTGTCGGTGGTGCTGATCCCCAGCTTCTGGATGGACTGTACCTTGTCCTCGGGGAGGCTGGGGGAAAACAGTGACTCGTGGCTCTTCTTCAGCACCCCCAGCGAGGCCGTGAAGATCACGTGGTCAGCGGCGATACACTCGCGGTCCTCGCACTCCACGCGGACGGGCCGGCCCGGCTGGGTGTCAGCATTGTGGTCATTGGTGTCGCCGATCTCTTCCCGTTGAGAGTAGTTCCAGTGGATCCGGCGGACTGGTTTGCCCAGTCGCACCAGTCGCTCCGGGATGCCCTGGGCCAGCAGCTCCACGATCTTGATGAAGCCAGCCGGGATCACGTAATGGGCTCCGGGGATCTCGGTCCACTCCCCAAACTCGCTAAGGGACACCTCATCCATACTGGGAGAGCTACTCTCACAGCTCTCCACCTGAATGGGGGGAGAGGGGGTTAAAAGTCACTTTGAGACTCTCCCTGATTCCCCCAACCACCCACTCCCGCTTTTTGAAGAATATACTCCACCCCCCATTTATAATATCACCTTGAGGGGAGAAGTTTTCCCTCCATTTTTCCACATCATTAACCCTTCTCACATGATGTATGACTGGGTGTGAATTTGTCTATATGGTACCCCTACCTCGTGTTGCCTGGGATAGGGTCCATCTCTCCACCCCCCAGAGATCTAAGCGGTTGGCAGAGGGCAATAATTATGCCCCCACCCACGATTTTCGTAAGAGAACCACAGTTTCACACACAGTTCACTCTATGCATCAACATTTCTTATTATGAGCAATTAAGCTAATCAGGCCACATGTTTAATTAAAGCATAATGAGGT